AAGGGATAAAAAAATAAATTATTATTTGTGCTTGAAAATGGCTTAAATTTTTTAAAAATCCGAAACAAAATCCAACATAATGATTACATTTTGTTGATTGATGAAAATAAAATATAGAAAAAAATCAGAAACCAATTGAATACACTTACACAATTATAACACATATAATACTTATTGCAGCGTATAAATATACAAAAAAAAGTTTTAAACAATTAATATAATACATAGTAATCTATATTTGAAAAATAAATTTACAATATAAATATATATGTTTTAGGATAAAAATATCAAACATTTAAAAAAATAAAATTATAATATAGAATAAATATATACATAATAGTAATATAAATATAAAAAAAATTAAAATAAATTAATAGGTGATGCAGCGTGATATTTGTAATATTTCCAAATATCTTAAATATCTTTATTGTTTACTTATTTGTGTATTTAGATAATTATTATTTATTATTTAGAGTTTTCTAGAATATTCTAGGGTTTTTATGATTTATTATAAATAAGCCGTTTAGGCATTCATTGTAATTCAGACTTTGATAAATTAATAAAAAGGATTCCCTAAAAGAGGTTTTGATAAACCACTGTGAAGAGTATTCACAAACCCTAATTTCCGGGTATTCTTAGAATCAACGGATCTAGTTCTATCTGTAGTAGCTTCCGCTCTATCAGTTGGTATCAGAGTTGTGTCTCTTTGATTTTTTAATCGAAGAACAACTCTGGATCATGGTGAGTAGTTGCATCTACACTTTCGAGGACGAAAGTCCTTTTGTCGAGAGAGAAGAGAGTCATGAGATTTATAGAGAAATCTATGGCGATCCAATCTATGACGTCTATGAAGATGATGTTGATATTATCAACTTTATCTTTCCAGAAGGTTCTTTTAAAAATCTGAGGCGTGCAAAATCCGTGCGCAGTCAGATTGGTGTAAGCTTCGTGCAAAATCCAGTTTGTGCAAAAAGCGTGCATAATCAGGTTTGTGCGAATATTGAGCGTTACCAGATCTTTTCAAGTTTCGTGAAGACTCCGAAGCGTGCAAATTCTGGGTTGAGTGTAAATTTTGTACAAAGCCCGGTTCGTACAAAAATCGTGTACCATCAACAAGAAGACATCAAACTGATGTGGAAAAATCGGTTGAAGATTCGAGGGCGAATCATTCTTGGCCGGCGAGACCTGATGCAGCGTGATATTTGGAATATTTCCAAATATCTTAAATATCTTTATTATTTACTTATTTGTGTAATTAGATAATTATTATTTATTATTTAGAGCTTTCTAGAATATTCTAGGGTTTTTATGATTTATTATAAATAAGCCGTTTAGGCATTCATTGTAATTCAGATAAATTAATAAAAAAGATTCTCTAAAAGAGGTTTTGATAAACCACTGTGAAGAGTATTCCCAAACCCTAGTTTCCGAGTATTCTTAGAATCAACGGATCTAGTTCTATCCATAGTAGCTTTCGCTCCATCAGTTGTAGAAGCGACTACTCACCATGATCCAGAATCGTTCTTCGATTAAGCAATCAAAGAGACGCAGCTCTAATACCAACTGATGGAGCGGAAGCTACTACAGATAGAACTAGATCCATTGATTTTAAGAATATCCGGAAACTAGGGTTTGTGAATACTCTTCACAGTGGTTTATCAAAACCTCTTTTAGGGAATCCCTAATTATTATTTCATCAATGTCTGAATTACAATGAATGCCTAAACGGCTTATTTATAATAAATCATAAAAACCCTAAAATATTCTAAAAAACTTTAAATAATAAATAATAATTATCTAAATATACAAATAAGTAAATAATAAAGATATTTAAGATATTTGGAATTTCCAAATATCAGGCTGCATCAGGTCTCACCGGCAAAGAAAGATTCGCCCTCGAATCTTCATTCGATTTTTCCACATCAGTTTGCTGTCTTCTTGTTGATGGTACGCGATTTTTGCACGAACCGGACTTTGTACAAAATTTACACAAACCGAATCTGCACCGGTTTTGCACTGACCTAATTTGCCACAGCTGGACTTTGACCACCATCGACTCAACCCAGAATTTGCACGTGTCGGAGTCACGAAACTTGAAAAGATCTGGCAACGCTCAATATTTGCACAAACCTGATTATGCACGCTTTTTGCACAAACTGGATTTTGCACAAAGCCTACACCAATCTGATTGCGCACGGGTTTTGCACGCCTCAGATTTTTAAAAGAACCTTCTGCAAAAATAAAGTTGATAACATCAACATCATCTTCATAGACATCGTAGATTGTATTGCCATAGATTTCTCTATAAATCTCATGACTCTCTTCTCTCTCGACAAAAGGACTTTTGTCCTCAAAAGTGTAGATGCAACTACTCACCATGATCCAGAATCGTTCTTCGATTAATTAATCAAAGAGACGCAGCTCTGATACCAACTGATGGAGCGGAAGCTACTACGAATAGAACTAGATCCGTTGATTCTAAGAATACCTGGAAACTAGGGTTTGTGAATACTCTTCACAGTGGTTTATCAAAACCTCTTTTAGGGAATCTCTTTTTATTAATTTATCAAAGTCTGAATTACAATGAATGCCTAAACGTCTTATTTATAATAAATCATAAAAAGCCTAAAATATTCTTGAAAACTCTAAATAATAAATAATAATTATATAAATATATAAATAAATAAATAAATAATAAAAATATTTAAGATATTTGGAAATATTTCAAATATCACGCTGCATCAATAGGTAAATCTGCGCAACGCTTAGGTCACAATCTAGTCTTTTTAACAATAAAATGCGATAAGAAAAAATAAATAAAAATAAATAAAAATAAAATAAACCAAGCTTAAATCTCAAAAGAACTTGCTTTAATGACATAATCTAACCCAGGAAAGCTCAAAAACTAGAATGAACCGGAGACACAAAACCCTAAAACGACAAGACCTAAAGCCGCCGCCGTCGGGATCTCGATAAATCCTCAAACCGAAGACTAAGTCAACAAGACCCGAGTTACCACCTCATGAACCGAGATCCGGAGCCACCAAGAGAGCCACCAGAGTGGGGGAAAAGCTTAGCCACACCTCTAGGACAGCCTGAAATACTGCCGCCGAGAAAGCTCGCCAAAAAGGAAACAAAGAAGGAGGAAAAAACGTCAATAGCACAGATCCGATCACGCCTAAGCAAGGAGGGAAGAGAGATCCAAACCACACCTTGCTATTGCCAGTCTGCTCCGCCGCCGAGAACTCTCTCAAGATCCGCTGCTGTCCCTGAGCAGCTAGAAGACTTAAAGAGAAGAACTGATGGTTCTGCACCATCAAACGCCTCTTTACTGAAACCTGCATCCGTTTGGTCCGCCACTCACAACCACAACGTCAAAGAAACAAAAAACCCGCCAAGCAAAGGACCACAACGAGAGATCGTCGGCAAAAACACTTGAGGACGCCTCACCAGATCTGGTCCTCAACAGATCTGGATACGCATGAGCACCGCCATCTAGATCCACCCCTGAATTGCTGCAACAGAGAAGAAGAACAAAGTCCAACCACCAAAGCTGATTAGGAGAGTCATCAACCCACAAATAAAACACTTAAAGGTAAAAAATAAAAAAGGAATGAAACCCTCTCACGACCGATCACGCCGGAGAGGAAAAAGAGAAAAAATATTTCGGTGTCTTCAAGAGAGAGCTAATTTTTTTTTTTGGCTCCGATTGTTATTAGATTTCACTAATATATGCTTTATTTATTTCGAAAAAGGTCATTATCTATGTTTTTTGTTGTTGTCATTATCTATGTTTTACAAGAACTTAGTTCAATAATTAGTTTTGTAATCACATGGTTCTGGTTTTGGACGCCAACTCAGATTAAGCCCGTTTACATCTATGTTTTTGTCTGTGCATGATCTTTTATAATGCCACGACCAAAACGCAGTCATAAGAAAATTAACATGAGAAGAGCGTTTTTGCGACTCAAGTTTAGTTTAAAAGAGAAGTAGCCGAAACAGAAGTGATGTTGATAAATTACGAAGTTATGTTACACTTTCCGACGGCTTTAAACTTTCGAGGTCATATTAATTACTTGTGGAATCTTAATATAGTTTAATTTAGGCGTTTTTTTTTTTTGTTAAATCATAAAGTTCATATATAATCTATACTATAAAAGATGGCCAACTCTCTCTATATGAGTGACACCTCATCATTTTGGTTTATTGTGCAAATAACATGTATCATTTTTTAAAATTTAATGATATAAATTATGTAAAATACAGTTAATGCATAAATTTAATGTATTATTAATCATAATACTAAAAGAATATGAAAAATATGAAGAATTAGATAATATATTTTAATAACAATATATACATAATATCCAAAAATAATTATTGAATACCTATTTTGTGGTAGTTTTTAAAAATCATTAACAAAATTTATGTTTTATAGTTAAGAGTTTTTTCTTATTTTTAATTAATATTATAAGATATTATTATAAAAACAATTATACAAATATAAAAATAACAATTATTTGTATTTTGAACCTTAAAAATTTAGAATAAAAATTTATACAATATTATAATAAACTTTAAAACAATTTTTTTATAAACTAATAATTTATATGCATTATTCAAACATGATCCATTAATAATTTTAAAATTAATAAGATATCAAAGTCCTAATATATATATTTATAATATATTTAATGCAGCTGTATAAATTTAAATTATAAATCAATTATTTAAACTCATAAAAATACAAAACCATGGTATTGCTATTGTGTAAATCTACGTGAACAAGTACGACCTGTTAAAAAGAGTCATCTCTATCTATGTTGTGCTTGAAGAGTTTTTCTTATTAATTTTTGTTATATAATACTTTTCTGATTTGTACTATATCCATTTAATATATTCTATATATACAAGGTATAATATATTTCACATTTTCTTATGAATAAACCATTGATCACATATATAGTTAATATCTATATAATATGTAAATATGTATTCTATCTTTATTCAAATTTACAATATCCTTTATTTTTTTTAAATATACGATAAAATAAATTGTATTTTTTAATAAATTATATTGTAAAAAAAAATCCGCGCATCGCGCGGATACTCATCTAGTTTATTTAACGCTTAAAGTTTATAAGCTTCGAGATTAATTTAGGTGTTTTTTGGTTAAATCTTAATATCATTAATGTTAAATCATTAACGCGTAAACATAATAAGTTTAGAAAATGGTATTTATGTATTGCTCCACTTATAACATAACCTTATTAAACCCATCTTAGTTCCATAGGTACTTTGCTTTATCATTGACAGCTTCATCGGCATAGGAGACTTGAAGCTTCCAGACTTTCTTCCCGGGCGAGGCTGAGGAATTGCAGAGTTTTGGGAGAGAGGACTTTCCTTTGTATGCTTTGCACACTTGAGCCACAAAATCATCCATATTCTGCATCACCAAAAACAAAAACAAACAAAACATTTTTAATAAATTAAAACAAATCTAAATAAATGTAGTTAAGAATATTATTCATGAAAGCAAGAGTTATACGTCATAGAGTGGTTCGCCGTTGACTGTGACCCATGGTACATATTCATGTTTCGGCTTCAAACCAAAAGTCTGGTTTGCATACTCCATTATGAGCTGAAATAACAAAACAAAAATGGTTACATATAGTATAGGGCTATATAATGAATAAATATATGCGTACATTATGATTTTTTTTTGTTGTTGTAAACATACATTTCTAGAGAGATCACCGGAGTAACAATCTTTGATGGCTTTAGCACCTCCATATTTCTTAACACATGATGATTCCCATTTTTTAGTGTTCTTTTCAACGCACCTTATGAACCAGTAGTGCATTTTCTGCGTTCCAAAAGAACCAAAACCATCACATTTCTCGAGTTAAACCGGATTTAAAACCCTCAGAAACCACCCAAGCTTGAACCAGCTGACCAAAACAAACCGGTTGATTAAGTTCAGTAAGTTTCTTCAAAATTTTAAAGTGTTGTGAATAGAGAGAAGAGATAGAAGGAATTAGTGTTGTGTTATTCCAATGAATAAGTGATCCTTTATATAAGAGTACAAGGAGAGGGTTTTACTTGGTGACAAAGTAAAACCTAGCTTACAAGTAACTCTAGAACCTTCTAGAAGGTGGGTTTTATGGGCTTATAATAGACATCACATAATAGTTCATAACACTCCCTTTTGATGTTCATTATGCAAACTATTCTTTAAAGCGCGTAGGATGCTGCCTCGTTAAAAACCTTACTAGGAAAACCCAATGGGAAAAACCATAGCTAAGGAAAAAAGAGTGCAGCGCGCATTAATTCCCACTCATGACTACATCACTTGAAATCTTTGAGTTGGTGCAATCCAGTATGGTAAAATAACTTCCTGAAAGTAACGCCTTGGTAAATCTGTCTGTCGAATCTTCACTTGAATGAATTTGTAGGATACATACGTCGCCATTCTTCCGTAATGCATAACTTTTGCTAATGATTCGTCTTGATCGTTCTCTTTACTTAATCTTATTAAAGTATAACAAATACTTTGGAGGGGTGGTAAACTTTCATCTTTATATTTCTCTTTAGATATCTATCATTTGTGTGTTCTTTGTTGTCTCATTAAAACCTTTCATGGAAAAACCCAATGGGATAAAAAACCATGATAAGGAAAAAGAGTACAACCACACACATCATCATATTTCTCCCCCTTGGAAGTATCTTCTTGAGGAGATGTATTCCAATCATATATGCAATCTTTTAGAAATAATTATACATATAAGCTTAATGAATAAACTCATATGCTTATCTTATAATCTCTTAGGTCATTGGACTTCTTGTCCGTAACAACTTTCATATAAATAACCATTTCTTGGTATTTTGAACTTCAAGTCCAATCTTCATTACACTTACATCATTTTAATCATATATGGAACATACTTATACATAAGATGTTATTCATGCTCTTCTTTACTATTTTAGCTTTCTTTCTTGTTATACTAAATCACATCTTTCAATCTTGAAATAGATAAATACATTGTTCAACTAGAAATTTAAGTATTGTACTTAGGATCAAAAGTATAGTGAGCATTCTTTATGTTAAATCCTACAAGGATCATTTGAAATAATATCTCTATCACTTAGATATCTCAATCTGGAACACTTGAAGACAATCGTCATTTCCAAAGATTTTTTCTTCCAAATTACAACTTGGGATAACTCTTCAAGAGATTTGATTATATCTAAATCTAGGATCCTCTTGATCTATAATCTCTTGGTAAATACATATGGGTATATTGGTTAACCTTATGATATTCACTTATACCATATAAAACCTTTTTGTCTTAATTCGATCGAATAATTAGAATTTTCAGGAACATAATTTTGACTATCCTAATCCTTCGGAAATTTGTATCCTTCAAGGATATTATCCTTAAGGGATTTTTATTTAAGTATCATTATCCAGTGGGTAGTATAAGTCAAGTCTTCTCTTATTGCCAGACTGATAGGGAATTTGGAAGTAGTTTCATCCACCACCGAAGAGTTTGTCTCTCCATAGTCAATTTCATATTTATCATTCTTTCATATAAAGTCTTCTTTATATCCCACTAGGTTTACACCCTTAAGTGTATGGACAACTGGTCCAAATATTCATCTCTTTACAAGAGATTTTAACTCTATGACTATTGCTTCTTTATAATTTGGCCAATCATTTCTCTGTGTACACTTTGCAATATATTTTGTGATCCTTTTTCTCACTTATCATATCAACTGCTATAGTACATGCAAAAATATTTATGACTTCGTTTTGCTTTTCGGTTCCATTTTATTCTAGACATGACATAACTTGTTGAGATCGATCTCTTTATTATCTCAGGTATCTGACTTTCTTTCTTGTCAAGTTTAATGTCTCTTCTTGAGATCATTAAAAAATCTATCTCCTCAGTCTGGCCATTGTCAATTCTGCTCCTTTTCTTTTCTGAGGATATTTATGTATGGAACCAATGAGTCTATCACGCTTCATGCGTTCTTTAAACTTTTTAGCAGCTTGATATTGTCCTTCTGGAACATTAAATTTTATTGGAGCCTTTATAGCTGGTATGTGACCTTGTCACTCTATTTGGATCAGTATAATGTTTCTTGCAACTGATTTACTAAAATTTGTAAATAAATTATCTGTTGGACTTTAATTCACATTCTTTAGTACGAGGATCAATGATAATTTATTCCAACTTATCTTTTCCAGCTGTTACTTTTCTCCCCCTGATGTTGGAATTACTGACATATTAAAATGACAGTCTACAAATCGAACCTAAAATAAATCATTCATGGATGGACTCTACATACTTAAATATAAATGGAGATTTATATCTAACATATATTCTCAACCTCATTTGAAGATCCATCTTTTACTGCTGTGGTGGAGCAATGTAGATGTATACTGCACATCCAAAGCTTTTAGATGAAAAATATTTGGTTTATGACCCAAAACCAATTTTGATGGGAGAACTTTGATTACTCTTTGGTTTTATGCTAATCAATACTACTAGATTTTATGTATGTTCAATATATATCCTTATGCTTTTATCATCAAAGGCTTAAGACATAAATTCACAAGCACTACCAAGTGTCTAGAAAACTTCAAGTTGCAGATTTCAATATAATAAACTACTTAACCATCCTTGTACACTTTCTAGGAAATGAAATAGATTTCAAATATATTTTTTAAGCTAGTGAAAATTATAATATCATATTTGTCATATAATTAAATCATTAGGAAGAATCTTCATGTTCTTCAATGAATATCTATAGACCTATAAATTATTTATGCTTATTCGATTTTAATGAATAAGATTCAGTTTAACAAATTTCGTGCAAATCATGTGCAAAAATAATATAGGGAATATATGATTTTAATGAACAGTATTCAGTTTAATATATTTCGTGCAAACTATGTGCAAAAACGGAATAAAATATTTGATATGCAAAAATATGAATAAAGACATGTTTATAAATATCATGTAAAAATATATTAGTATAAACATGTGATTTTTGAATCTCTACTGGAGAATTAATCATAATACCATTTATAAAAATAATAATAATAAAATAATTTTATGATTTAAATTTATAGAAGAGAATTTATCATAAATATCAATCATAAATATAATAAAATAAACATGTAAATTGAATCTCTACAAGAGAATTCATCATAATATTGATCATATAAATCTCATCAAGAGAATTTATTATAATATTGATCTTTAAAAAAAAATTAATAACATAAACATATGATTTGAATCTCTGCAGAAGACTATTATAATATTGATTAATGATCTATTCTTACAAACCATGAGTTGATAATAAACATGATTTGAAGTTGGAATGAAGAAATTATAGGAGGCAGATTTGTATACCTCTTAGCTCAGACAGCTAGAGTTTCGTGCTGATAACGTGTTGTGAATAGAGAGAAGAGATAGAAGGAATTAGTGTTGTGTTATTCCAATGAATAAGTAGTTATATATGAGTACAAAGAGAGAGTTTTACTTGGTGACAAAGTAAAACCTAACTTATAAGTAACTCTATAAGGTGAGTCTTATGGGCTTATAATGAATATTACATAATAGTTCATAACAAAAAAATAATTTAAATAGTTTTTTTGAAATTATGAGTTAACTGACCGTAAGTATGTTAACTAAAAACAACAAAATTGTAAGTTTTTATTTTAAAACTTTTAAAAAGCATAGTATAAATGTAAATTCCTTATAATATTTTATTAAAATCAAAATGCATTATAATTATTACCGGATCGGGCCAAGTTCTTATGGCGCAAGCTTCAATGGCGTTTAATTTGCATTCCTCTTCACCATGCTACACAAAATTTCATAACTAATAAGAACTTAGTATAAGAGAAACATACAACTGATTTAAACGATCTATAATCAAATAAAGATGAAAAAAAGAAAAAATTATCAACAGGAAAGAGGAGAACGGATAAGATTTGGAGAGTAATCCTTAAGAATATTGTAAGATCATTCACAATCTTGTAGACCACTCTAAAAAACTTATACCAGAACATTGGGAAAAATTGGCTACCTAAAATTAAAGAACCTCTTCTCAACAAGAAAAAAAAAACAACAAGGAGGAGGAGAAATTGAAACTAACCTGGCAAGTAACAGTCATATCATCGGAGACACGAGCGTTACCGAACGGAACGAGCTTTAGATTGGTGATTGTGTGGAGGTTGGAGTTAAAGATTTTCACTATCTCATCGACTATGAATTTCTGACAGTAGGGACAAAGTGATTCGTAGTAAAGGTCGAGTTTCACTTTGTCAGATTCATCTCCAGCCACAAAGTTGTCTGAGAATGTGAACAGAAGAACAGCTAAGAATAAGAACACAAACTTGTTCAAAGAAGAAGAAGAGGCCATTGTTGAAAGTACTCCTAGTAAAGAGTTTGAATTGAGTGGCTCATGACGAATGCTTGGTGTATACATCTATAGATACTTTTATTTTGCCGTCACCGTTACTGATATTTTTACTAGGCGGTCACAACTTTCACGTGGGGTCTATCTTTTTGACTTTTGTGTCCATAGTAGTAACTCAAGCGTCAGAGTGAGTAGATAACCACAAGATGCTAATATTGGGAAAATGGTGTTTTGATATATGTACGGTTAGCACTTTTTTATAACTTAAGATACATACAGATATATGAAGAATTCAGATTTATCTCCCGGCGGAGGTATAGTTTATGATAGATTCGTTCTCTGAATAATCAAATCGATCAAAGGTAAGTCCATATTCATATGACCAAATGAGAAATGTTTAGTAATTTCACTTTTGAAGAGTTAGTGTCTTTTCTTTTACCTGAACTTTTTAAAATTTCAAAAACATAATCCATGCCCTAATGTTTGTGCGTAAAACAAAGTTGACCACAACAAAGTTCAGTTAATCGATAAGTTTTGTCAATTCAGCTGCACGTGTATTTTTTTCTTTTTTTTTTACAATAGCGTCAGCCTCTAAAATGATTCAAAAATCTAAACCGGTGGAACTGAATTTACATAATTTAAAGAATAAAGGTGTTCTCGAGCACTTTATGCTAACTTGTCCGCCTTTGTATTTTGAGCGCATGAGATATGCGAGATTGAAAAAGAAGTGAATTCCTTTTTGCTCACCTCGTAATTCGTCTAGGAGTAAAGTGAACGCTAGCCATTCGTCTGGACTAGACATCATACGTACTAGTTCCGAACAATCTGTAACAAACTTAACCCCAAATCTTCTGTTATCCAACATATAATGCATAGCCAATATTAAGGCTTCCAACTCCGCGTGTAGTGATGAAAGACTACGTCTGACATTCCTCGCTCCCATAATGGTACCCTCAGAACCGAAACCCTGGCAGTACAATCCCAGACCTGAGTTAACGGACAACTCTTTCCAAAGTCCGTCTATTAAACAAGTTAACCCACCCATATGTGTAATTACACCAACCAAATTTGTCTGTTGTGTAGCTTCCCCGTCATCTTCCGTTTGAGCCAATTCCCATGAATTTGCCTCTGCGATCGCCAACTTTAACACCTCTCTTGGGTCCCGATCAATATTCGAAAAAATCTTATCGTTCCTTGATTTCCCACATATACCACAATATCCATAAGTAAGTGTACATTTCTTCTTGTTGAGGTAGATTCCAAAACAAGTACGCCATGTTTTAGTATAAAGCATCTGTTGGAAAATGAGACGAGGGTGTTGGAATCGCCGATAATGCCCATACTTGAAGAGCCGGTGGATATTCAAATAGGGTATGATTAATGGTTTCTCTTTCCGCTCTACATTTCTCACATTGTGGATTACAATTAATGTCTGTGCTCTTAAGGTGATCCATTACCAAAATACAATCCGAGAGAAGCTGCCACAAAAAGTGCTTTAGTTTTGGCGGACATATAACTTTCCATGCCTGACATTGTAAATTGCTTACATCCGGTCCGTAGGGTCGGCTCTGCTCCACACTGGATGGAAATTGCTGCTCCATAGAATATTCTGACTTTACAGTATACCTACCTGATTTTGTAAAACTCAAACCCAATAAATCCGGTCTGGAAGCCCTGGTTGTAGGCATCACTATGATCAGGGGAATATCCTCTGGATCAACCAATTGTTGAATTAACAGTAAATTCCAAGTTGAAGTTGTTGTGTCAATTAGCTGATTGACTTTTAGCTATGGGTAATAATTATACCCTTTGCAAGATGATGATCTTGGGCGTGATGCTGGAATCCAGGGGTCATTCCATACATATATAGAATTGCATAAGCCAACTCTTTTAATAAGTCCTTTGTGTACCAGTCATATGATGGAGAGTATGACCTGATAGGGTCTAATGATGTACCATTACGAAGGTACCTGCCTTTAAAAACCTTTGCGAATAGCGAGGTTGGATGATCTATAAGTCTCCAAAGCTGTTTCGCAAGTAGAGCCGTGTTAAAAACCTCTATAACTCGAAAACCCATCCCTCCTTCCAACTTATGTCTGCATAGATTTTTCCAGGCTAGCCAATGCATAACCCGTGTTTGTCCGTTAGTGCTCCACCAAAACCGTGCCACCGTACTTGTGAGTTTAGTCATGATCTTTTTTGGTAGTCTAAAGCACGACAAGGCGAATGTTGGCATTGCCGTTGCAACCGATTTGATCAAAACTTCTTTTCTCCTTTTGAATAAAAGACGGGATGTCCATCCATTTACCCGTTCTGTTGGCAATCTATAAGAAAGGTAAATATTTTGGTTTTTGCCCCATCTAGGCTCTCAGGTATCCCTAGATAAGTATCCATTCCCCCTACAGCCATAATCCCTAGAGTTTGATGGACCTCTGACTTCATTGATTCATCAACTGTATGTCCAAATTGAACTGATGACTTGTCAAAATTGTTTTTTTGACCCGAGACAACCTCATATTGTTGTAAAATCCGGACCAGGGTATCTGCTTCTTCCTTGGTTGCCTTACAGAAGAATAAACTATCATCCACGAATAGCATATGGGAGATCGACGGACTCGCTCTCGTGATTTTTATGCCGGTAATCAGTTTCAAACGTTTCGTTTTTTTGCAGATTAGCAATTAATACCTCCGTACAAAGAATGAAAAGATATGGAGACAATGGATCTCTTTACCTTAGTCCTCTCTCTGCTTTTATATTTCCTCGTGGTTGTCCATTAATAAGAACCTTATATTGCACTGACTTGACACACCACATCATCCATCCTATCTATTTCCCCGCAAAACCCATCTTTCATAGTAAATGTTCTATGAAGCACCATTCTATCCGGTCGTAGGCTTTACTCATATCTGTTTTGACAGCCATGTACTCCCGTTTACATGCTTTGTTTGTACGTAAAGCATGGAACATTTCGTGAGCTATTAAGATACTATCCGAGATTAGTCGTCCTGAAACAAAAGCTGACTGCATCTTTGAGATCAACCGGGGTAGTAAACTACGCAGTCTCAGACACAATACCTTTGAAATTATTTTGTATACCACATTACATAAGCTAATGAGTCTCAACTCACTCATCCATGTGGGTTTTTCCGTTTTTGGGATAAGACAAATATTTGTTATAATATCTAACCGTTGATCAAAACTTCCCGATATAAAAAAATTATTAACCATCTGTAACACGTCAGCCTGATTGTTGGAAAAAAATCGGGGTCATCCCGTCTAAACCTGGTGCCATCCTAGTAAGGTGATCATTATCAGCCTCTGATATTTCTGGGTCGATTTCGTCAAGAGCGTCCCCAAATGATGACGGATTAGTAGATTCAAATAATTCTGCAAAATACTCTACTGCTACCTTCTCCACTTTTGTTTCTCCACGACCCAGATCCCATCTTTATCATGAAGTCCCATAATCCTATTTATAGTTCACCATTGTTTTGTTGTCGCATGATAAAATTTTGTATTCAGGTCCCCATTCCTATTCCAGAGATTCCGACTCTTTTGTTGTCAATATTCTTCCTCGTCTTTATACGCCTCTTGCAGCTTCCAAGTGATATCGTTTAATTCCGCTTGAGAATGAAAATCATCGTTCTGTATTTCCTCTAAAGCCCTTTAGAGTTCTGAAATTTTATCTTTTCCATATGGTTGAGTTGCCTTTCTCCACTTCGAGATCTCATGTCGGCAAGTACCAAGTCTGTCTACCATGGATCTAGAGCCATCTACCCCTTCTGAATTCCATCCCCATACGATAGCTTCCAACAAACCTTCTTGACCAATACATCTCTTATCAAATCTGAATTGATGTCATCTTTTTGTTACCTTTGTGTCAACTGTTTCGGCTAGTGGCAGATCGAGTAGACTGATCGATTTATCTTTGAAGATCGAGTGACCCGGTCGATCTACACCCCGTTTGCTTTTCAAGCTAAACGGATAGGTGGTTTATCCTCTCGTGATCGACCGTTCCACTCGATTTGTCTACTCGATCTCGTCTAGATCGACTGACTCCTCTCGATTCACTAGCTCGATCTAGTAAAGATCGAGCTAGGATGAGTCGATCTAGCACTTGATCTTTAGCCTACACTTAGCCCTTCTCGCCTCTTTTGACTCCAAGATCACACCTGACAATCCCTTATCCTTCCACCTACACACTTAGACAATAAAAGCATAAAACTGAAATAGAAATAAAGCAAAAATATATACAGGATAGACATGGGAATGCCTCTCCAGTGCGCTTTCTTTAACGTCTTTAGCTAGACTTTACTTGGTTTAGGCTTGAGGGGGATCTTGGAGAAGCACGGAGGTGCTCTCCTTGCTGCAATCACTCGCCAGGTAGGGCTTAACCCTGTGCCCGTTGACCGTGAAAGCATTGCCGCTCTTGCCAACCAATGTAACCGCTCCATAGGGTAGAACCTCTTTGATCTCAAACGGTCCACACCACCTTAATTTGAGCTTGCCCGGGAACAGCTTCAGCCTCGAGTCGTAAAGTAGCAACATACGGCCTTCTCTTAGCTCCTTGTGAAGAAGCTTCTTGTTGTGAACTGCCTTGGTCCGCTCCTTGTAGATCTTAGCACTCTCGTAGGCTTCCAACAGTAGCTCATCAAGCTCATGTAGCTCAATCAACCGCTTTTCCTGAGCTGTCTTGAGGTTGTAGTTCAGCTGCTTCACTGCCCATAGTGCTCTATGCTCCAACTCAACAGGAAGATGGCATGCCTTGCCGTAAAGAAGGGTGAAAGGAGTTGTGCCTATAGGGGTCTTGAAAGCGGTTCGGCAAGCCCACAAAGCATCATCGAGTTTGACTGCCCAATCTTTCCTAGTAGCCCTAACTGTCCTCTCTAGTATAGCCTTGATCTGCCTGTTAGACACCTCTACTTGCCCACTAGTTTGAGGATGATATGGAGTTGCTACCTTGTGCTTCACGCCATACTTCCTCAAGAGGCTTTCAAAAACCTTGTTGATAAAGTGGCTTCCACCGTCACTGATCACTTCCTTTGGAACTCCAAACCGTGGGAATATGATGGTCTTGAAGAGCTTTATCACCACCTTAGCATCATTGGTTGGAGAAGCTATAGCCTCAACCCACTTAG